CACTGAGCTAAATCCCAGGCCCTGTTTTGTGTTTTTCAGACAAAAGTCTCACTGTGTAACCCTCTAGCCTTGAATTCACTGATCCTCCTGCCCCAGCCTCTTTAATGCTGGGATTACAGGCGTGTGCCCCCATTCCTGGGCTTTGTTAAATTAATAAGTCCCTCTGCAGCGCCTGTCAGCTGTGGGCACTGCTGGCACCCTAGCCGTTCAGCGGGTATTGAGAGTGCCCCTCCCCTTGTGACATTCAGAACAGCAGCTGTTTTCCCATGCACTGAGGGTACTAGGATAGTGGACGATAATAGAATGTCTGAGGAGATCTGGGAGGCCCCCTCTGGGGAGTTGACAGTGGAGCGGCAAGATGTCTGGGCAGTGGCACCTGGCTGTGTGGATACCCTGGGGAGGCTGAGAGCTGGCTGCAGCCTAGGAGCAGAGCCAAGACCCGATTTGGTCAGTGTCCTGAGATGTCATCTGCCCCTCAGTCCCACCTCCCCTGGAACTTCACGGGGCCTTAACTGTGGTGGCCCTGTGGGAGGCTAGCAGTAGGTAGAGAGGTGCACCTACAGGGCCCCGCCTCGTAGGAGGAGAAACTAGTCCCAAACTGCCCTATGTGTGCAGGCCTGGGGTTCCTCATCCAGGGTTTTGATCTCTGGGTGTCTGCACTTTCCTGAGTAGGTGGAACAGCTGGAGCTGGAGCACTCAGATTTTTTCTATGCACATAATTGTATTAAATCTGTTTTTCATTCAATAAAATATCAGGGATATCTTTTTGTGTCAGTATACCTGCATAACCTTTTTCAAATACAGAAATATAACCAGGCACAGTGGTACACATCTGTAGTCTCAGCATTTGTGAGGCTGAGGCAGGAGGATTGCCACAAGTTTGAAGCAAGCCTGGGGTACATAGCTCCAGGCAAGACTGGGCTACATATTGAGAACCTGTCTGAATAAGGTAAAAATGACATAATTAATGTTCCATAATTTATGTGGACAACACAATGATTTTTAGTACATTCAAGACACCACTATCTTTCAGAAAATTCTCATCACCTCTAAGAACCTTGAGCCTTGTTCCTATGAGCCCTGTTTTCCCTAGCCACAATTAAACTATCTGGCTTTTTTTTTTTTTTCATTTTTTGAGACAGGGTGTCACTGTGTAGTTCAGGCTGACTTTAAACTATGTAGCCCAGGCTGACCTCATACTTGAAGCAATCCTCCTGCCTAACTCTGGAGTGCTGGGATTGTAGCTATGCAGTACCATGCCCAGCTAGCTGGCATTTACTTTTTTAAAGACATCTTTACTGAGATATGGTTCACCCATTTGAAGTATGCTAACAGTGTTTTTAGCATATTCTTGGATTTTCAGGTGTGTGGAGCTATAATCAGATTCTGTTTTGTTTTGTTGGTTTTTTGGGGGGGGTACCGGGGATTGAACTCTGGTCCTTGCACTTGTGAGGCAGGTGGCAGAACCACAGAGCTAAATCCCCAGCCCTAATTTAATTTTTAAAAATTTTTATTTACTTTTTCTCACTATGTAGCTCAGGCTGGCCTTGAACTCAGTATATAGCTCAGGCTGACCTCAAATTTGCAGTGATCTTCCTGTGTCAGCCTGCTGAGTGCTGGAATTACAGGTGTGCACCACCACATCTGTCTGGCCCAGATTCTGATTTAGAATGTTCGGAATTCCACAAAGAAAACCCAGACTCTTGTTTTTTTTAATTGCCCAGACTTGGCTCAAAATTGTGATCTCCACTGCTTCAGCTTCCCAGAGTACTAGCATGAGGTGAATGTGCCACTGAGCCCAGCTACCTACCCTGGGCCCTTCTCTTTTTTTGGTACCAGGGATGAAACTTGGGACCTTCCACTTGTGAGGCAGGTGGTGGCACCACTGAGCTAAATCCCCAGGCTCCAGGCCCTTTTAATTTCCAGTGTCCTCAACCCGTAAGCGAGTTCTGTGTCTGTGTCTTCCTGTTGCCAGTGACAGGAGGGAAAGCACTGGTGGCCAGTGTTTCATGGTGCACCTCCTTGTGACTTTTTTTTTTTGGTACCGGGAATCGAATTCGGGTCCTTGGGCTTGCAAGGCAGGCAGTGGAACTGCTGAGCTAAGTCCCCGGCCCTCCTTGTAACTTTTTGAAGCCAAGTCAAGGCCTTGGGGGGGGGGGTCTTTGCATCACCCTGAGGGTATAGACTCAATTAGTTTGCTTATTAATTTAATTTTGGTGCACTGGAGATTGAACCCAGGATCCTCACACCGATCTACATCTTTTTATTTTTTTTTTTACTGGGGATGGAACTCACGACTTTGCGCTTGCAAGGCAGGTGCAGCGCCACTGAACTAAATCCCTGGCCCTCTTTTTTTTTTAATACTGTGAAAGTTTTATGTGCAATCTATGTAAGACAGTTCTGAGACTCAGTGTCCACTGAGAGAAGACAAGACCTTTTCTCTTAGGCATCATGCTGAAATGTAAATGATATCACAACTCAGTTTATGAGTTATTGCATAGATATCACACACTGCCCCTATCTTGGTCACTGTGATCTTTAGGAAGAAGCATTTTCCTGATCCACAGCACCACGGCCCTCAGTGGTACTTCGCCATCCAGGAAAATATCCCTTCAGGCTCCATAACGTCCCCCAGGGTAGCTGCAAATCCTTCCTGTCCTCCCTCAGGCCAAACTGGCCAGAGATTTCAAAGTCTGGTTCATAGATGGCCAGGTCCACAAGAACTTCCTGTTGAGCTCCACCTGGCACTTGATTAAGTTGGCAGTAAACACCGAGCACTTCAGGCCATGTTCCTGGGAGGCAGCGCTGATTCAGTTAATCCAAAGGGTCCTCAGTGTCTGCTTCTTCAACCTGAGGGCCCGGATGCATTTCGCAAAAGTTCTGGTGACAATCCTGATGGCCAGCCGGTAGCTACTGTTCTTCCTCTCAAAAGTGCTCTGCAAGCCTCAGCGCCTGTTGGATCCAAAAATAGTGGTTGGTGACGTTTCGCAGCCAGAGCCACATCATAAGGAAGACTGGTGAGGCGTCTGCCACCCGCCTGTGGCAGTGAGTGCTTCCAGGTCAGTGTCCCATCTCCGGCTCTTTATTTTGAGACAGTCTTGCTAAGTTGCCCAAGCTGTGGTACAGCTAGAGATCCTTCTGCCTCAGCCTTCCAAAGTGCTGGGATTACCAGTGTGCATCATCAGCCTGGCTGATGGGCTCAGTTTTAACATCAAGAGCTATAGGGCCGGGGATTTAGCTCTGCAGTTCGGTGGCCTGCCTCGCAAGCGCAAGGACCCAAGTTCGATCCCCGGTACCACAAAAAAAAAACCCAAAAAACAAAAAAACAACATCAAGAGCTATAGGAAAAGTGAATCTGTATTCAGAGTTCCCACTGCCTTTAGTACCCTAGCCAACCAATATGGTGTGTGTACCTGTGATCCTAAGTACAGTAAAACCTTGGGTTTCGAGTAATTTGTGTTTCACAAGATGAGTAAACATGCCTAACAAATTTTAATTTGATAAACAACTGATTTGATAGGAGTAGTGCCTGACACCAAAGGTCATGTGATCACAGCTTAGTCAGTGGTTCCCCCTTCCTTCCCATTGCATACATGTGTGCTGCAGGATCATGGGTGATTATGCTGTGGGATTGTGCTCAGTGATCAGTCTCAGGCTTCAGTGTTTGGCAGAAATGAAGGTTGGAAGGTGCTCACAACTGGCACTAGTGTTTTGTTTTGTTTTTTTGAGACAGGTTCTCACTATGTAGTTGAGACTGACCTGGAACTCACTTTGTAGCCCAGGCTGGTCTCGAACCCCTGAGTGCTGGGATTACAGGCATGCACCACCGTGCCCAGCTGGCACTAGTGTATTTTTGTTACTTCAAAGCACCTATGGCGCTGGGGATTTAGCTTAGTGGCACTGCTCCTGCCTTGCAAGTGTAAGGTCCTGAGTTTGGTCCCTGGTACCAAAAAAGCACTTATGAACAGTCCTTTGCCTTTCCATACAAGAATGAGTTCAGGAATGGACATACAGACTCTTTTTTTGTTTTTGTTTTGTTTTTTTATTTTTGGGTTTTTTGAGACAGGGTCTCACTGTGTAGTTGAGACTGACCTGGAACTCACTGTGTAGCCCAGGCTGATCTCAAACTCACAGCGATCCTTCTGCCTCAGCCTCCTGAGTGCTGGGATTACAGGCATGCGCCACCACGCCCAGCTAGGTACACACTTTTAATCCCAGCACGCAGGAGGCTGAAGCAGAAGGATCACTTAAGTTCAAGGCCAGCCTAGGCTGCACAGTCAGACCCTGTCTCAAAATAAATAAATAAAAATTTAAAAGTAAGTGTAGGAATGCTTTGCTTCGTTTTAGGTCAGACTGCCTGCAGATGCAGACCCTTTGCTACCATACTGCCATAATTAAATACAATATATGACAAGCGTTTGTTAGTACTGTGCTGTAGTCAACATCCATGTGAGCATGTACAATGGCCCACGTGCAGATAAAGGTTGAAAGGGAGCAAGAAGGAGATGATTATGGTGGAAGTTAAGGAAATCAGGAAGTACAATCAGAAATTGCAAGGTTTCATGAGAAGTCTACGTTGACCATTTGTACAGCATTGAAGAAAGAAAAAGTAAAGGAACTAGATGCAGTAAAAAAGACACAAGAATATCAAAAGCAGCTACATATTCTGGAAGATGCAGAAAGGTTGCTTCTGGTTTGGATAAACAAGAAGCAAATAGAGGATGACACTGACCTAGGACTATCCTGTGAGAAGGTAAAGGCAGTGTTAGTAGACTGCCAGGTACAGCAACAGAAAACAGCTTCCAGGCATGCAGGGGACGGTTTCAGGATGTTGGAGAGATGGCTTCCATAGCATCGTGAGGCAGGGAGAGACAGTTTAGACACTAATGCAGCTGAGGTGTCCACAACTTGGGTTCTAGAAGTTCCTGGTTTCCGAGTGTTACCTGCTGGAGCAATTTTTTTTTTTTTTTCCAGCACGGGATCAGTCTCAGAACCTTGCACTTGCAAGGCAGGTGCGGTGGCACTGAGCTAAATTCCCAGCCCTGCAACAAATTTTTAAGTGAAACGAGGCGGTCTTTTTTGGAAAGAGATGCCAAAGAGGCAAAGAGGAGAATGCAAGCCTGGTCACAAGCACACAGAAGACCATCTCACCCTCTTGTGCTAATGCAAGCAGGGATTTCAAAGTGAAGCGCCTGCCTGTGTATCATTCCAAGAGTCCATGAGTCTTCAAGAACGCAAGGTGCAGAAGAGCCAGTTAAACGTTACGTTGGGGTCCAACAGCAAGGCTTTGGTTGTTTGAATCTGTTCGTTAAGTGATTCACCAAGGTCTTTGGTCCTGCCATGAAGAAAAACTTTTAGAAAGGAGGCTGCTACTCAGTCTTGCTGGTTACAGATTTGCTCCTGCTCATCCTCTAGGCTCTGAGGGTAACGTACTGGAGGAGTTAAGTTTCAGTAAGGTCCCCACACCACTGCGGTCCTCCAACCCATGGATCAGCAGGTCACTTGAATTTTACGGAGCTTTACATCAAAGCTCTATTTCAGCAATGCTTCGAGGAGACCAAAGGAACAAACCTTCCCCTTTGAGAATTTTGGAAAAAATGATTTCCACATCATAAACTTCCTCAAGTTCATCAGAAAAGCCTGGGATGGGGTCACCAGGAGAACCCTCAATTCTGCTTGGAGAAAACTTTGATTGTGTTCGTATGCACAACATAGAGGGGCTTGCTCATAAGTGGGAGTTACCAGTTGTCAATGAAATTGTGTCCTTGGGGAAGACCAGGGTCCTGGAGATGAATGAGGACAATGTTCAAGAACTGGAAAAGGAGTAAACCCGACGCTGAGGCAGGCGGAGCACCGCGAGTTCAAGGCCAGCCTGGGCTACGTAGTGAGACCCTGTTGCAAAAAAACAAAAATAAAAAAAGCTGGTGGAGGAATGTGGCCGGGAGCCAACCACCAGCGAAGGGATGGATCTGCATGGTGAATAACAGCGAGAGGTTACAGAGGAGCTGTGGTCTGCCCAGGTGGAAAAATAAAGGCGGAATCTCTCACTTCAAGTAAGATTGGGGAGATGTGGAAATTGTAGGAAACCACAAAACTTTGAAGAAAAGCACTACCCAGATAAGGCTGCAGCAGAGCGAGCAGTGGATTTGTTTAATGATAATGCAATGGCACATTTCCATGAAATCCTCAAAAGGAGGCAAAAGCAAGTGTCACTGAATAGGTTCCTTGTTAAAGTTGCATGAAAAGAGAGAGATTTCACTGAGTCAGTAGACAACAGTGATTCACTCCCTTAGTGGTAGTTGCAAATCCTACACAGTGACCCTCCTCCCTCTCCCTCTCACCAGGCACAAAGCTTTTTAAAGTAAGTGCAGGTTAATTTGTTTGTCTTATAGTTTGTATTTTCTTTATTTTTTTGTATTACAGTATTGTAATCACTTTTGTATGAGTATATCTGGGTTGAGCAGATCATGAGTTTTTATTATTATGGGTGTTTTGTTTTGTATTTTGAGACAGGGTCTCACTATGTAGTTGAGACTGACCTGGAACTCACTATGTAGCCCAGGCTGGTCTCGAACTCACAGTGATCCTCCTGCCTGAGCCTCCAAGTGCTAGGATTATAGGTATGTAGTTGAGTGACCTGGAACTCACTATGTAGCCCAGGCTGGTCTCGAACTCACAGTGATCCTCCTGCCTGAGCCTCCAAGTGCTAGGATTATAGGTGTGCACTACCATGCCCAGCCCAATTCATTTTGATATACAAGTGTTTTTGGATTACAGCATTTTTTTTTCCAGAATGAATTATGCTCACAAACCAAGGTTTTAACTGTACTTGAGAAGCTGAGGCAGGAGGACCCCAAATTCAAGCCCAGCCTGGGCAAATTAGTGAGATGCTATCTCAAAATAAAAAGAGCTGGGGTCGTAGCTCAGTAGTAGGACACTTGCTTAGCATGTTCAACACCCTGGGCTCAATCCCTAGCACCACACACACCAGTAAAATCACCTTAGACAGTTGAGGGTGCTCTAGGCCCCCCAGCTAGAGTGACCTATCTTAGCACGCATGTCCAAGCCCCACCAACCCTTGTGCACTGACCCATTTCCCTAGGTCAGTCCCAAATAGTTTCCTAGAACCTGCGCCTGTCCCCTGGTTTAAGTCCTCACAGAACTGGCATCTTCTGGTGAGAAGGGGTTCCAAGCCATTATTCTCTTTACGTGCCAGGGCATCTGGGGAAACTCGACACCCACCACCCGCTGGAGTATACCATGAGTAAGGGGTGCTTTGGGCACCTGGCTTCGTAAGTGCTGTAAGCAACATCAGTGCTGTGGTCACACCCAGGAGTTTCACCCTCTTAAGTGGGTCTGGGTTTTAGCCTATTCACAGTATTGTGTTGCCATCACAGCCATCAAGGACCAAAGCATTTACCACCCCAGGGGAAGCCCGGTCCCCTCCCCAGGCCCTGAAACCCATGAGTCCACTTCCGGTCCATGGAGTCGCTTGGTCTGGGTGTGTCCTGTCCGTGGAGCCCACACTTCTGTGTCTCACTGAGCACGGCATCCCCAAGGCCTGCCCACACCGTGGCGAGTGTCACAGCCTTGCACCTTTCCTGGTGGAGTGGCGTCCTAGCATAAGGATGACTCAGTTTGGGCACAGGGCCTCCTCAGAGCACGCTGGTCCAGGTTCCGGGATGGCAGTGGCACGGAACTGCAGGTCACAGAGGGCACCCTTTTTGTGCTTTGGTGTGGGGGCTGCTGCTTGCCGCACTGGCCCTAGTTTACACCTTAGCTGTTGGCCATCTAGACAGTACTGCGGACCGCAGTGAGGCCCTAGGTGACTGCACAGCAGCCTCAGTCCCGAGGCTGTGGTCTCTGGGGAGGGCAGGCAGCCTCCCAGCCCAGGACCCCTTCCTCCTCAGTGTGGGTCCCTGTCTACTGGAGGGCTCCGAGGTTGCGGGGTTGGGGGATTGAAGGAGCAGCGGCTCCTGGTCGAGCCCCGCGCCGACCAGTCTGCGCCCGCAGCCCCAGCGGGAAGAAGTTCCGCAGCAAGCCCCAGCTGGCGCGCTACCTGGGCGGCTCCATGGACCTGAGCACCTTCGACTTCCGCACGGGCAAGATGCTGATGAGCAAGATGAACAAGAGCCGCCAGCGAGTACGCTACGATTCCTCCAACCAGGTCAAGGTGAGCTGGCCGATGACGTCAGTGGGCGGGACCGTGCCCCTGGTGCGCAGGGGTCGAGCAGGGCCCGCCTCAGGGGTCCCCAGGCGGCCATGGCGCGCACGCGGCTCCTGAGGCTCCCCGAGTCCCTGCTGTGCCCTCCCGAGCCCTTTCCCTTCACCCCCTGCCCTGGACCAGGGTCCGTCGTCACTCCTGGCCCCAGGCCCAACCCCGGTCTTACCCCGGGGACCCCTGCCATCCCGGCCCGCCGCAGCGACTTGTCCCCGCAGGGCAAGCCCGACCTCAACACGGCGTTGCCGGTGCGGCAGACGGCGTCCATCTTCAAGCAGCCGGTGACCAAGATTACCAATCACCCCAGCAACAAGGTCAAGAGCGATCCGCAGAAGGCTGTGGACCAGCCACGGCAGGTGAGCCCCGTGGTCTTGGGGTGCCTGGCTCGCCCAATCCTCAGGGCCCTTGTGGCGGGGGGGGTTCCCTTCCCAGCCAGTGTGGTGAGCACCCCAACACTGGGGCCAGCCCTAAACCCCAGGCCTGGGCCTTTCCTTGTGACCAGTCTTGAGTAGATGGTGGGATTTGTGGGCAGATAGTTTAAATAAGATGGTACACTTGGGAGGCTGAGGCAGGAGGATCTGAAGAAGTAGTGAGAGTGTCTGAAGAGGTAGTGAGAGTGTCTCAAAAATCCGGAAAAAAAAAAAGATGCTGCAGTGGGTTGGGGGTGCAGCTCACTTGCCTAGTATGCAGGAGACCCTGGGTTCCACTCCCAGCACTGCCAAAAGGGAAAGTACAGTACATAAATGCCCATAATCACTCTTTTTTGAGCCATTTGTGATTCGCTTGTTGTGGTTGTGGAGGATCAACGAGCCCCGCCTTCACACAGATGCGGGGGCTGGGGGCTGGGCAGTAGCCTGGCTGACCCCTGCCATCCTTGTCTGGCCGCAGCTCTTCTGGGAGAAGAAGCTAAGCGGGCTGAGCGCCTTTGACATCGCGGAGGAGCTGGTCAGGACCATGGACCTGCCCAAGGGGCTGCAGGGTGAATATTTGTGCAGGCCAGGGAAGGGTTTCTGCCTGGGGCTCTGGACCTTGCAGACGTGTGGGTGGAGTTGTGATGTGCATTCTTGTTCTTGACCTTGGAGACCTGGACCCGAAGGGCGCCAAAGAGATAGGGAGGGGGTGGGGCCTGGGGACCTTCAGGTGTGGAGAAAGGGCTGCCAGGCCGGCTGGGGTTGGGGTGTGGCTCTGGTGGCCCTGACGGCCCTGGCACCCGCCTGGCTGCCCTAGGCCTGCTGGGGTGTTTGGTTTTGCTGCCCCACTGAAACCCGTGCAGTGGCCAAGGAGCCCAAGCTCCCGACTTCTCTGCTATGTGGGTTAGGACAGATGTGAAATTTGGGGACGAGACCAAGTGGAGACGCAGGAGCACTACTCGGCTGGTCACCCTGGTGCTGAGTGCTTCGGTCACTGCACCCTGTGACCCCGCCACCCCAGACTGTGTCTCGTGCCCTGTAGGGGTGGGGCCCGGCTGCACAGATGAGACCCTGCTCTCCGCCATCGCCAGCGCCCTGCACACCAGCACCATGCCCATCACTGGGCAGCTCTCGGCCGCCGTGGAGAAGAACCCTGGCGTGTGGCTGAACACCACGCAGCCCCTGTGCAAAGCCTTCATGGTGACCGACGAGGACATCAGGTAGCCTGCAGCCCTCCTCGGTTCCCCTCTGCCTGTGCCTCTTCGCGGCTCCTGTGGCGCATGCATGTCTGCCAGCGCTGTTTGAAACAGATGGTCATTCAGAGTGCAGGGCAGACCCAGTGCCCCCTCCCCTACTCCTGCAGCACATGCTGGACAGTGCTGAACACTGGGTGTCAGGTTGTCAGGCTCAGGGAGCCATCAGGTGGGGACGCATGACTGACTCACGACAGTCCCAGGCCCTGGGTTTGGGCCAGGAGGCCAGGAGGTGGCCATTTGCTAGAGTGCCTGGGAAAGAAGCCCCTGGAGCCGGCCTTTGTGACCCAGTGTGGAGTTGGCCGGGAGCAGAAAGCACAGTGTCCTCACTGTGAAAGTGAAACAAGCTTGTGGCTGGGTCGGGCTGGGCTGCAGAGGGGGCGGTGCCACAGGGCCAGGAGAGGCAGCTCCAGGCAGGTCGGGTCTGGTGGAGGGGCTGGGTCCAAAGTGTGTGCAGGCAGGGCCAGTGCCTGTGTCCCCAGGAAGCAAGAGGAGCTGGTGCAGCAGGTGCGGAAGCGGCTGGAGGAGGCGCTGATGGCTGACATGCTGGCCCACGTGGAGGAGCTGGCCCGCGATGAGGTGCCCCTGGACAAGGCCTGCGGGGATGAGGACGAGGACGAGGACGAGGATGAGGAGGAGGAGCCCGAGCCAGACCCAGAGCTGGAGCGCGTCTAGAGCAGGTTCCAGAGTGGGTGGCATGGGTGTCTCTGCCTCAGGACTCGGCCGGCCCTGGGTGCTGGCAGTGCCTCACTCAGACCTTGTCTCCCCAAAGAGCCCATCATCCCTGCCAAAGTGCTGATGGAGTCCCCTCTGCTCCTTTCCAGGTGCCCTGCCTAGAGCCCGTCCTCCTCTGCTCCACCCACTGCACCTGGCCCTGCCGCGCTGGGGCCAGGCTGGGTGGCCGAGTGGAGGGGTCAGCTGGACCTCACCCTTCCTAGGTGCCCCTCCCCGGGCTCGGGGTATGGTGGAGGTCACCGCCCCATGGACCTGGGCGTGGAGTGTGGCCAACTCAGGCCTGCGGGACAGAAGGCCCTCCACACCGGACTCAGGGCCGCTGCTCCCTGGCTGTGAGGCAGGACAGTGCCAGTGGGCTTGCCCATTACCTAGCGCCACCAGGCCTGCAGCTGTCGCGTTTCCACAAGCTGGAGAATGTTCTGGAAACAGTCTCACCCCAGCTCTGCCGTGAGGAACACGGTCATGAGCCTAAAGGCCAGCCCTTTGGGACACCATTGCCACAACCCTGCAGCCCCCAAGCGGGCAGAGTTGGTGACCCTCAGAAGGGCCCCTGGGCAGTGGCCCCCAGGAGGCTGCTTTCTTTCAATAAATGGATGACACGAATGAGGCTGCATGTGGCTGACCTTCCACGTGAGCAGTGCCTTGGTTTCCTTTTGAACCCAGACTACCCACAGCCTTGCTGCCTAATGCTGAGCCTCAGTTTCCCCTTCTGCGTGTTGGGGATGGAGTTACCCAGCACAGGGAAGAGCTGGTCAGAGTGACCTGAGCCACAGACACAGGCTGTGGCCACTTTAACGTTTCTTCTGGAGCCTCCAGTTTGCCGCTGGGCCCAGGGTGGAAACAGTGTCCTCCAAGCCCACTGCTTGTCACCCGTGCCGTAGGGTGAGGGCAGCCCCTGTGCTCAGGGACGTGTGCCCTGAGTGGGTGCTGGGCCCCTGGTGCTCAGCTGGCACTGGCACTGGCAGCAGACCTCAGGCTGATCCTGGCCCCGTGGGGGGACCTCTTCTCACTTGGGACTCGCCCTTGAGGCTCCCGGAGGGCTGTGTACCAGGAGGGAGAAGCTGGGGGGGTCCTCCACCTTGCCAGGCTGGGGTTCCTGTGGGAGGCTGCAGCCCGAGGCCTAAAAACTAGGCGGGTCTGAGGAAGTGGCGGCTATGGGTCCCCCTCAGGAGCAAGGCTCTGAACTTGATGCCTTCTGAAAAGGATTCAAGCCAGGCATGGTGGCACGCTCCTGTCATCCCATCACCTGGGAAGTTGAGGCAGAAGCAATGCCATGAGTTTGGGGCCAGCCTGGGCTACACAGTGAGTTCAAGGCCAGCCCGGAATATGTATCAAGACCTTGTCTCAGAGTGAGCAGTGTGCGGAGGGTCCCCTACTGCCTAGCTGCAGTGTCCCCCAGACATTGGGACACATAAGACACAGCAGGTTTCCAGGCTATGGCCCTAGGGTCCCAGATCATTCCTGGCCACCCACAGGGAGGGCAGCGCTGAGGTCCTGCCCACCATCCGTGGCATAGGAGAAATGGGAGAGAGTTGCTGCCCTGAGTGACCCCTGCTGGGGCCCAGGCAGCTGCAGCCCTGAGACTCCTCCACCAGCCTGACTGGACTGCCCAGCCCAGGGAAATGACCCCTGAGACCAGGCTCAGAGCTGTCCTCCTGTCCCTCCTGCCTGCTTGGCTCATGGCTTCTGTCCCCATCCCAGGCCAAGAGAGGACTTGTTGGCCTGGACCCCTCTCTTGCCCCTGCCTATATTGGGGTCTCTGCCCAACCTGGCCACTGAGAGGCCCTGGGGAATCAATGGCCTCAGGAAGTATCTGCTGGCACTTCCTGTCTCTTGCAAGTCCCTGGCAGCTTCGGGCCCAAGGCATGGGAATGGAGCCTTGCCACATCCCTGGGATGGGCCTGAGTGGGCACAGGCCCCACACTGCACTTGTCCCTGCCCAACCACATCTCCTGCCTGGGACCAGCTGCTGTGCAACGCAGTACCCACCCTGAGCACGCGGGACACCACACCTTAGTCTTCCCAGAGGGCACCGCCCCACTGCAACAACAGCTTCGTGGTTCACACGGTCGTGTGCCCCAAGAGCAGCAACAGCACCCCAATCCCTCCTGGTCCCCTGCACCCAACCTCATCTTGGGAGCTAAGACACGGCTGGGTGACATGGGAGTGCACTCCAGCCGCCACTCCCAGTACTCCTTGCCACAGGTCCCTGCTATAATTGCAGCCTCAACCCCAATAAGTAGGAGCAGCTTCCCAATCACTGCACCCCCTTTCCCCCCTCAGCCCTTCCAGGAGGTGCCTGCTTGTCTACAGATCCTCTGCCTCACAATTTACCATTAACACCAGGTGCAGGTGGGAAGCTCTGCTGAACTCTATCATTCAGCCAAAGACCTTCAGGTTTTGGGTGGAAGGGGTGACAGGCCATCCTGGAAGACCCTTGTTAAAATGATAAGTATTCAAACGGCTCCAGCCAGGCCCTGGCACATTGTAGATACCAGGGAGGCTGAGGCAGGAGGATCGCAAGTTTGAAGCCAACTTGGGCAACTGAGTGACTTAGCAAGACCCTCATTCCAAAAAGGAAAAAAAAAAAAAGTCTACCTGTGAACTGGAATATTATTCAGCCAGGAAAAGGGATGAGGTTGCAACACTCATCACAGCACAGCAGCTCCAGAGAAGGAAGGTGACTCAGAGGTGTGGGGCTGCAGAGGGGGCTGGTGACTGCTCACAGGGACAGATGGGGCTTCTTTCCGGGGTGATGAAAACAGTATAAATTTGATAGGATGATCTTTTATGTTTTTTATTTTTTACTTATTTTTTATCTTTTATGTTTTTAGTTGTTTTGTTGTGGTGTCAGAGGTGAACCCAGGGCTGCCCATGCTAGGTAAGCACTCACCCGAGGCCTGATAGTGGTGACGGTCACACAGATCTTGAATATACCAAAAACCACCGACTCGGCCAGGCACAGAGGTGCACGTCTATAATCTCAGCAAGACTTGGGAGGCTGAGGCAGGCTGATCCCAAATTGGAGCCTAGGCTTGGAAACTTAGCAAGACCAAGTCTCAAAACAGAAAAGGGGCTGGGAATGGAGCTCCGTGGGAAGGCTGTGGGTTCAATCTCAGTTCTGAAAAGGAAAGGCCATGGGAGAGAAGGGAAGGGGAGGGGAGGGGAGAAGAGGGGACAAAGTGAAGGAAGGGACTAGGAGTGTGGCTCAGTGATGCTTGCTCAACCTGAGAAACCTTGGGTTAAAAAAAAAAAAACTACTCACCACCGACTTGTCTACTTTAGAAGGCTAATTCTGAACAAACAAAAAGTCAAAAAATCAAAAGCCAGGCCTGGCGTGGTGGTGCGCACCTGTGATCCCAGCACTCGGGAGGCTGAGGCAGGAGGATCGCGGAGTTTGAGACCATCCTGGGCTACATAGTGAGTTCCAGATCAGCCTCAACTACATAGTGAGACCCTGTCTCAAAAAAAAAAGAAAAAATCAAAAGCCAGCTGGGGATATAGCTCAGTGGCACTGCACCTTCACAAGCACAAGGTCGTGAGTTTGATCCCCGGCATCAAAAAACAAAACAAAACCAAAAAAAAATGAAAACCCAGGTGTGGTAGCATGCGCCTGTCATCCCAGCACTCGGAGAGACAGAGGCAGAAGGATCACCATGAGTTTTGAGGCCAGCCTGGGCTACATGGTGAGTTCAAGGACAGCCTGGACCCTGTCTCAAAAAACAAAGCCAAACAAAAAAGGTAAGTTTTGATGAAAGCAAATTATATACAAACAAAAAGATTTCAGGACTATGGGAACCTGGCTGTTCTACCCCACCCCACAATCTGGAAGGAGGTAAGAGACCCCAAGAGATAAGAAGGGAGAACAGTCCCGCATGTGCCCAGGAAGGATGTTGGGAGTCCACCAAGTGAAGTGAGGTCGATGCATAGGAACCTCTAGAGTTCCTGAGGACGCTGCCACAGCAGGGGTACAGGAGGAGTGATCTGAAGCTGGAACCCTGAGGGGTGGGGCGGTCAGGCACCCCCGCACTTCCCAGTCCAGGACAGGGGCCAGAGGAAAGGTATGAGAACCCCAAATGTACTGAGCATGGGGCATATGACTATCATCTCAGCACTCTGGGAGGCTGAGGCAAGAGGATCACAAGTTCAAACCCAACCTAGGAAATTTAGCAATTCAGCAAGACCTTGTCTCAAAAAGGGCTGGAGGGCTGGGGATTTAGCTCAGTGGTTCTGCCACCTGCTTTGAAAGCACAAGGACCCAAGTTCAATCCTCAGTACCAAAAAAAGTGTGTGTGGGGGGCTGGAGATGGAGCTCAGTGTGAAGGACCTGAGTTTAATCCCCAGTTCTGAAAAAAGAAAAGGAAAATAAAGAGAGACTTTCCTAAAGGGCAGATGCGGCTGGATGTAACTCAGGGGGCAGTGTCAGGAAGGATATTTTAGGATGGGCTTGGCCCTGGGCAGAGAAACCAACACAGGAGGTGTGAGGACTCTTGGGACCATTCATCCTGGCCTGTCAACTTGATCGGGTTAAGAAACACGTAGCAGAAGTCAGGTGTAGTGGCGCACACCTCTAACCCCAGGAGTATTGCCGTGTGTTCAAGGCCACCCTTAGCCACCCTTAGTGAATTGAAAGGCACCCTGAATTACACAGCAAGACCACCTCAGATCTACTACTCGGGTTGTGTCCTGGCAGTCATGGAGCATGACCTTGGGTGCTGCCTGTTGTCCCCGGGCCTTTTGGCTCTGGTGCCGGTACCCTTCTCTGCTTCCAGCTGCCATGTGCGTAACCACTCTTATCCACCACACCCTTCCACCGTGAGGCGTCCGGCCAGGAGCCGCCGACCATGGACCGAATCCCCTGAAACTGTGAGCCACATAAACCTCTTGTCCTATAAGCTGTGTCCCGGCCACAGGCGAGCAGGCTGATAACACCTGTGCAGGACTCCTGGTACGGAGAAGGGACTAGATACTTCAATGGACAGTCCAGGGCAAGTGGTTGTGGCCGACATGCCAGGTGGAGTGAGGGAGCCCAGGAGATGTGAGCTGGCAGGATAGAAGGGAGGGGAAAGCCATCCCCTCCCATTCAGAGACACCACATAGTTGGTTGCTCACCCAGCCAGCGTCAGGTTCACCCTACTCCCCACCTGCATTGGGCCTGGGGGTAGGGCTGAAGGCAGAGCTGCTGGGGCACAGTGGCTTTGGAACGGAGCCCAGTTCTCTTCCCCTGTACCTCTGAAGACAGTGGGAATCCGTACACCTCGAGAAGCACTTCCATGAAGATGTTTCTGGGTCCAAGTACACAGTACCCCCCCCCATTTCCAAGTAGGGGCTGCAGGGACGGAGGCCACGCTTTATTTATTTATTTTTGTTTTATGAGACAGAGTCTCGCTTTGTAGTTCAGGCTGGCTTTAAACTCACTGTGTAGACCAGGCTGGTCTTGAACTTGGGGCGATCCTCCTGCCCCAGCCTCCTCAGTGTTGGGATGACAGGCGTGCGCCACCACGTCCGGCTTGGGGGCCCAACTTTAAAATCCAGCGAGATCGTAATGACACAGGGTCCTGCAGAGGAACACCAGGTCTAAACTACTCAAGGAGGGGTTCCCC